TTATTAACATTCTTCATGCAGAGACAGTCATAAAGAACTAAAGAGCAGCTTTTTACAATGCAGATTGTGTCAAAGCAGCTTTACAGTATTAATCAGGGAAATAGTGTGTCGAAATGGTGTGTCTTTCTCCTCTGGCCAGATGAGACCAGCAGTTTAAATCTAGACTGCAGCAAAGTCACATTGTGCAGAGGACTGGTTATCTGGTTATCTGGTTATCGTGGTCTTGTCCCGGTGGCCGTTTAGGTGACGAGGTCTTTACTGGGGATCTGTATCTACATGATTCACCAAACAAAAGACCTCAGATTCTGAGAGCGGTTCCCACAGCGGCCAACACACATTTCCAGAGAAAGAGCAGCGTCTGACGGGATCATGTGTGTGTGTATGTGTGTGTGTGTGAGAGTGTGTCGTGTCAAGTCAAGTCACCATTATTTATATAGCGCTTTTTACAATGCCGATTGTGTCAAAGCAGCTTTACAGTATTAATCAGGGAAATAGTGTGTCGAAATGGTGTGTCTTTCTCCTCTGGCCAGACGAGACCAGCAGTTTAAATCTAGACTGCAGCAAAGTCACATTGTGCAGAGGACTCTGGTTATCTGGTTATCGTGGTCTTGTCCCGGTGGCCGTTTAGGTGACGAGGTCTTCACTGGGGATCTGTATCTGGGGCTCATCTAGTTGTCCTGGTCTCCGCTGACATTCAGGGCTGTCGAGGTCTTCTCTAGGTGCTGATCCACCATCTGGTCTGGATACGTACTGGATCTGGTGGCTACGGTGACCTCGAAATAAGAGAGAAACAGACTAATATTAGCGTAGATGCCATTCTTCTAACGATGTAACAAGTACATCGGGTGTTATGAGAAGTGTTCCCGGTTCCGGTTGATCTAATTAATGCAGCCTAACAATCCTTTAACGGATTTGAATTATAGAAGTGTGTTATGTGTAAACAGTCAGATTGTGCAGAGGACTCATCTGGTTCCTGTGGTCTTGTCCCAATAGCCATCTAGAAGACGAGGTCTTTGGGGGGGATCAGTCTCTGTGGCACATCTAGATGTCCTGATGTCTGATATTTAGATATCTAGATGTCTGGGTGGCAACGGTGACCTCGGAATAAGAATGAAACAGACTAATATTAGCATAGATGCCATTCTTCTAACGACGCAACAAGTACATTGGGTGTTATGGGAAGTGTTCCCGGTTCCGGTTGACCTAATTAATGCAGCCTAAAAATCCTTTAACGGGTTTGAATATTAGAAGCGTATTTAGTGTGTTATGTGTAAGCCAGGTTAAAGAGATGGTTCTTTAATCTAGATTTAAACTGACAGAGTGTGTCTGCCTCCCGAACAGTGTTAGGTAGATTGTTCCAGAGTTTGGGAGCTAAATAGGAAAAGGATCTGTTGCCCGCAGTTGAATTTGATATTCTAGGTATTATCGAATGGCCAGAGTTTTGAGAACGCAGCGGACGTGGATGACTATAATACGATAAGAGCTTGCTCAATACTGATGAGCTAAACCATTCAGGGCTTTATAAGTAATAAGCAAGATTTTAAAATCTATACGATGTTTAAAAGGGAGTCAGTGCAGTGTTGACAGATCCGGGCTAATATGGTCATACTTCCTGGTTCTAGTAAGAACTCTAGCTGCTGCATTTTGGACCCGCTGGAGTTTGTTTATTAAGCGTGCAGAACAACCACCCAATAAAGCATTACAATAATCTAACCTTGAGGTCATAAACGCATGAATTAACATTTCTGCATTTGACATTGAGAGTCATGTAGGTCATAATTTAGATATATTTTTGAGATGGAAAAATGCAGTTTTACAAATGCTAGAAACGTGACTTTCTAAGGAAAGATTGCTATCCTAGAAACATGGCTTTCAAAGGAAAGATTGCTATCAAATAGCACACCTAGGTTCCTAACTGATGATGAAGAATTGACAGAGCAGCCATCAAGTGTTAGACAGTGTTTTAGGTTATTACATGCACAGTTTTTAGGTCCGATAATTAACACCTCTGTTTTCTCAGAATTTAGCAGTAAGAAATTACTCGTCATCCAGTTTTTTATATCGACTATGCATTCCGTGAGTTTTGCAAATTGGTATGTTTCGCCGAGCCGCGAAGAAATATAGAGCTGAGTGTCATCAGCATAACATTGAAAACTGACACCATGTCTCCTGATGATATCTCCCAAGGGTAACAAGTAAACCGTGAAAAGTAACGGTCCTAGTACTGAGCCTTGAGCCTTGAGGTACTGCACTTGTGATTGTGTGTGTGATTGTGTGTGTGTGTGAGACAGGCCTCAACTGGCAGCTGACAGATACAGGCTCTTTCATGAGGAGTGTTGTGCAAGTGTCTCACAAACATCTTCCTGCTTTTATCGTGCCGTTTCCTTCACTGCCAAACACTGAAGCGTATGGAGGTGAGCTGTAGACGCCGTCTCTCATCCGTCACTTTCAGATGGCAGCGAGAGCAGAGGCTTTCTGAATTATTAACCCAGAGGTCAGAGCAGAGGTCGCAGGAGAAATCTGATGAGATGCAGCAGGTTTCAGTGTTCGAACAACAACAAAAATGAGCAGATCTCAAAAACATCAGTTTATAATGAACGAAAAACATAAAAACGAGGTATTATTCTTGATGGATCAGGAGCTTTAATGGAGTTTGATTTAGTGTTATTTTAGTATCATTGAGGTACTATTATAGCTTTTATGTTTATATGTATTTTTATTTTTTATTTTTTATTTTTTATAAAAAGTTTTTAAAGTTTTAGTTTTACTTTATAAATTTTATTTTTATTTTGTTTTTGTTTTTTTTATTCGTTTTTTAGATGTCTATATAGTTTTTAATAATTTCTATTTCAGGTTTTGCTTAAGCTACTTTAGTACATCAAGATGCAAGTGTGTGTGTGTGTGTGTGTGTGTGTGTGTGTGTTCATGCCACGGCATGTTCTCTCTTCTCCTGCTTCCAGCGCTCTGAACAGGGAATGAAGGGAATTTCTAGTAAATTCCAAACTCTGGGATGTGAGCTGTTGACATTGAACATGAACGTGCAGATTAGATCGGCGTTTCAAGGCGATTGATCACTTTATTGATTACAGTGATGGCTGGAACACTAATGTCTTTCCAATCGACCGTTTAGAACATCAGCAAAACACTGCTTCCTTTAAATACAGAAGTGTGTGTCTATTTCTCTCTCTCTCTCTCTCTCTCACACACACACACACACACACACACACACGGATTCTCAAGCCAGTCTGTCTGTAGTTTTGTGAGCAGGTTAGTGTTTGTCTGATCCTTTATCTGTGTCTCACTGCAGTGACAGACAGGTGAGTGTTTCATACATTTTGGACAGGTGTTATTAATGATTTTATATGGTATTTTTACGAGGACCAAATTTTGGAAAATGTCTTCATAAATATAGTGAAAACTGTGAAGGTCCTTTTAAGGTTAACTAGTCAAAATAGTTAATAAATAGGCCAATAAAAAGTTTAAATAAAATTAAAATAAATATATAAATATAGCATTAATAAAATGAAATTTATAATGTAGAGAATTAATATACAGTACATAACAAAATGTAGAGCGAGACATAGAGATGTGAGGCTTTTTGCATTTTGTGTGCAATTCTTTGGATTTGTGTGTAAAGTTTTGAAAAAAAGACGCAAAGTTTTGAAAATGTAAGCAATTGAAAAAAATGTTAAATTAAAATTTAATTAATATATAAAATGTATATAATTAAAATTAACAAAATAACTTAGCATAACATTGTGTATATATATATATATATATATATATATATATACAGTACATCAGGCCAAAGAATCTGCCCAGAAACCAGTCCCCAGCACCGCTGTGCCGGCCGTCTAACACCAGGTGAGAGGAGAACTTGGATGAGTTTTTCCTTTGCACTTTTTGGCTATTAAAGAAATACCGTTTTTCTAATTTTACATTTTTCTTCCTTTTCCAGAATGGTTCTCTTCGGCCCTGTCTTCACCAAGAAGGGACACCGTACAAAAAAAAGTGAATAAGTATCGAAAAACAGAAAAAACCAACATGACATCAAAATGTTTTGCCAGGTTGAGAAACTAAAAAAAAAAAAAAATTATATTAAAAAAAAAAAAAAAAAAAAAAAAAATTTTAAATTAAAATTTAATTAATATATAAAATGTATATAATTAAAATTAACAAAATAACTTAGCATAACATTGTGTATATATATATATATATATATATATATATATATACAGTATATACAGTATATATATACACACACATACAGTACATACAGGTATTTGTATAAGTGTGTGAGAGTGAGTGAGTGTGTGTGTGCGTGTGTGTGTGTGTGTGTGTGTGTGTGTATGTGTGAGGCTCCGCCCCCTCTGCAGGAGTCTCGGCGCTTCAGTCTGATCAGATCAGAGTCACGCAGCGCTGCTGTCTGTGGGTTGGTCCGCGTCTGTTTTCTGTGAAAGAGCGGAATCACGCGTGTTTCAGCGCAGGTAAGATCTGTTCTCTGGCGTGGATCGGATACATATTACATCAGACTGGAGCTTTGATCTGGATCCGCTTTCAGAACCAGATTGAAACACAGGCTGATTTGATATGGACCGGATCAGTCTGGTTTATCCCGCATTGGTTCATTCATTCGTGTGGAGCTGGATGTTGTGGCGGCTCGCCTGGGCTGATGTTTTTCTCGGCGTCTCTGTAAATCTCCTGTTTCCACACCAGCCGCATTTCTATCGCTGAGTATGACGTGCTAGTTTTTCTAAACAGGTGTGAAACTGGATTGTGCAATCTGATAACCAACTTACCATCATAGTTTCTGGCTCAAAATATTTGCTTATGACTAAAATCAGTATAAATGACAATTAGATCTCCTTCAAACATTGAAATCGCTTTGTTGTCTTTTAGTTCATTTGTTTTCTCATTATACCACATTTTCACAAGTGTACAAACTAGTGGTTTGGTGAAACTGTGGTCAATTCTGGAAAAGTTCTGGAAAATATGTGAGTCGCTGGGGGATATTTGTAGCAATAGCCAACAATACATTGTATGTGTCACAATTATACATTTCTCTTTTATGCCAAAAATCATTAGGATATTAAGTAAAGATCATGTTCCATGAAGATATTTTGTAAACTTCCTATCGTAAATATATCAAAACTTAATGTTTGATTAGTAATATGCATTGCTAAGAACTTCATTTGAACAACTTTAAGTGGTTCACATGGTTTCTTTAAGGAAGTGAAGTGTCTAATTGGTGGATTCATATGGAATTTGTGGAATGCATGTTGCATGTTGGTTTTTTCCATATTTTGGCTGGTTTGATTGACAGTAAGAGTGTATTTAAACACATTTGACCCATGTTTAAGTCTGATTGCACAGTAAATGCACATAGGTTGCAGGTAAAGATTTGGTGTTTGTGACACTGGAGGGTTTAAAGCTCTCAGCAGAAGCACTGGAGGAGCGTCACCCTTCCCCCTGAGCAACATCTGAAGGCAAAAACATTCCTTGTTCACAAGTGCTGAAGTGTTTTCAGCTGCTGCAGGAACAAAGAGCTTCTGCTTCTGTTGTGTCTTGGGTTTGGACTTGTCAAACTTGTTGCCAGCGAGTCTAACGCTGAGCAAACACAGAACGGCCAGCGACACTTCAACCTGCGGGCCATTATTTATCTGTCCTCACGTGCTCATAAACATCATGAAGCTTCCTGAAGATTACAGTTTCCCTCACGAGGTTCCTATCAGGATCTGCACGAAAGGAAGCCATAGAAGAACCATTTTGGTCCCCCCCCCCCACTTTAAATACCTTTTTGTGGAATGGAAAGGTTTTATGGGTGTCAAAGGTTCTTTATGGAACCATAGTTACCAATAAAGAGTGCATGTTCAAATAAATAAACTAGTGTTCAATCCAAATGAAGGTCTGTGAATATGTTTTTTTGGTGAAATATGGAATATGCATGATATATTCACAATGATTTTACAGCAAATATAAAATGAAGCACTGATTTTATATGATTTGAATTGGCTTTTTAGTTGGCCATGAAGTTTAAGAAGTCATTAGACTTCAGTATCCTGAATCTTTCATCATCAGACGTCAGAAAGAGCATTATTACCAAGTATGTTTGCGCGCACAAGGAATTTGTTTTAGAGTTTTACAAGCTTCCAGTGCACAGAGACAACAACACACAGATAATAAAAACTAAGATGAGAATAAAAATACACATGTGATCTTTCCCAAAATAACCATTTTTTGAAGTGTGAAGTTTTTGTGCATTGGAAATTTTCATTGGATTTTAAAGTATTTGCTTTGCCATAAGGTGGTGGTGATATATTGAATATGCATGATATATTCACAATTAATTTTCAGCAAATATAAAATGAAGCACCGTCTGAGATAGTTTTAATTTGGCCATATAGTTTACTTAGAGTTTAAGAAGTCATTAGACTCTTTAATTTTTCATTGTCTTTCCCAAAATAATAGTTTTTCTTAGTGTGAAGAACATTTCAATAATCTGAAGAGGTTTATGCACTCTTAAGAACCAAAGTGCATTGGAAAAGTTTCATGGGTGTTAAAGGTTCTTCATGCAAGCATCAAATGCCAATCTTTGTTTTTAAGTGCAAAGAGGTTGATGGTTTACAATCTTTAAATGCACGTCATCTTTGGCATGCTACTTTAACATCCATGAAACTTTCCAATGCATTTTGGGTTTTTTGTAAAGCAAAAAGGTTCTTTGGGGAACCAAAATGGTTCTATGTCTTTAAAACCCAAATAATCTTCAACATGCCAGCAAACAGACTAAAACAGAGCCAGTGATTCATCAGCCATTGATCGAGGGTCAGTAGATTGTTGACCCCGTCCATCTCCACTCCACTTTCCCAGGCCACCAGAATTAGAGGCTCTTCTGTTCTTTCCATGTCAGGCTTCAGAAAGCGTTCTCGTCGGGAGGAATGTGAGGAATGTGAAGAGGAGACTCGCACCACCGTGAGTCTAGCGCATCTTCTCGCGCGCCAGACACCAGCGACGGTGCGAAATCTCACAGGTTTGTTTTCACTCTCTAGCGGGTGAAGACCTTTCAGATATCTGAGCCACAGAGAGAGCGGCTGTGCTGTCAGAAATGGAAAGAAAACCATCTTTATGGCCACATTCTCCATTTGTGCCAAAGTAAAATGAATCATTTCCTGAGACCAGTGTTAGGCAATTACTAGTAATAATATGTGAGCACAAAACTAGTCATAAGGGTCCATTTTTAGAAATTGAGAGTTTTGAAACCTGGATAAATAAGCTTTCCATTGATGTATGGTTTGTTAGGACAATATTTGAAAATCTGAGGGTGCAAAAAAATCTAAATATTGAAAAAAATCATCTTTAAAGATGTCCAGATGAAGTTCTTAGCAATGCATATTACTAATCAAAATTAAGTTTTGATATATTTACAGTAGGAGATTTACTAAATATCTTCATGGAACATGATCTTTACTTAATATCCTAATGATTTTTGGCTTAAAAGAAAAATGGATAATTTTGACCCATACAATGTATTGTTGGCTATTGCTACAAATATGACCGCTTTTGTGCTGCAGGCTCACATATGACTTTTTCACAATAACTAGTAGTGTAGCTAATTACTAATAAGATTTCAGTAATAATATTACAGTTACCATCAATAAAACAGCTCGTTACTTAGTTACTTTCAATGCCTCAACCCCTACTGAATCCAAGATTTATTTTCATAATTTCACATGAAGTCAGCAGAGCAGCAGGCAAGCTTAGAATATGGAAATCCTTACATTTAGCGGATGGAAATATTGCTGTTGCATTGATTTTGTCAGGAGAAAAGATGATCTGAACACTGATGTGTGGCATTACTTTACTCTGGCGTTACACGGCTTGCCCACAAACATCCCGTTTTGTTTGTATAAAATCTTTTTAGAGAACTAAACCTTTTCTGACGAACTTATATGATTTCTTTTGATAAAATGCATCCTGGAATATAACCGTATATTGGTGACAGAGACATTAGAACTACAATTAGCTTCAAGCTACACGTGGTATTTAATGAGATTAATGCAACACTTGTGTTTAAATGTTACTTTTAATCACCACTGACTTCTGACTGCAATCCATTGTGCATTTTGGTCAAATGATGAGGCGGAAATATAATGTTAATAACATTTTAGAAAACTTTTATGGCGAATATATGCAATTGCAACTTCTGTGGGGTGTGACAGAAAAGTAATGTAACTAGTAGTGTATCAGCTGCTCAGGTTATTTGAAAAAGGTCATGTTTTTTCCTGTTTTAACCATCCGTGCCTTTAAATACAACAGCAACTGCTGCTGCGAATAGATTCCCGTATCAAACTGAGTCATTGTGCAACGACACATTTGCAAATGTGGTTTAGAAACTCTCAGACTCCAGCACCTGCCGATGCTCCTTTTGTTTAAAGAGCGTATTTCTTAATTAAGAGTCTAGAAATGAGTCACATGTGCGCAGGAAAGGTAATGAATGAACTGAAAGAGTTCCATCTGGTGCTGTCCTGTGAAAACAACTAAACAAATGTGTTACGGTCATTACATATTTGCATGATATTTTGCTGAATTTTTTCAACTTTAAACAAGTTGCATGGACTATTTCTGGATCTTTCCGGCTGCTGGTTGATGTTTTTAAGGAATTGATTTGGAAAGATTGAGATTTGGTCCATGCAACTTGTTTAAAATAGTTGAAAATATGCAGCAAATTAAAATGCATGTATTTAATGACCATAACACATTTGTTTAGTGGTACAGTCCAAATGAAGGAATATAAATATGGCTTATAGTCACTATATATTTCTCATGATCCTAACCATATGCATTTTAAATTATTTAATTTGCTTTATTCGTCTTGCATTGTTTCAGCGTCTCTGATTTGAACCTCAGTGTTTCGCATTAAGATCAGTTCATTTCTGTGAGTTCAGACGGCTTCTAGAAGGTCGTTCGTCCACGTGTTTGAACAGAATGAGTTTGTTAATGTCCTGATTCCGGCTGAAGTGGGTGAGTAAGTCTGTCCAAAGGAAAGCTCTGTATGAAGGGAGGGACCAGGAACTGGAGGAGCGGATTTGCACCTTTTGTTTTTCACTAGTAAGCGTGAAGTACTTTCATCTGATTATTTAGGCCAAGTCTCTTACACAAGTGCATTTCCCTGTCAGAAACACTTGAAATGTACAAAGGTTTATGCAAAGCTTTAAAGAAGAACTTTGAGTTTTTCAGTGGCAGCTTGTTGATATTTCTGGAGCCACTATGAAATCTTTTTTACATTTTTCCCCCCAAAAAATTCAGTGTTTTACATTTTCATTATTCTGGACTGTATATTTGAGCTATTATAAATATCTAATCAATTGATTTCATAAAACCATTTCATGATTATTTAACATTTTGACAATATTAGGGTGCTATGAAATACTTAATTTTTTCCCAAATTATGTTTTCATTTTTCTTGATACTTTGGTTTATGACTGAATAAAAAAATTATAATTAAAAACTGTGGTAATCAAGTTAATTCATATGACTATAACAGTATAATCAATCTTTGTAAATTTAATAAAATACACCAGTTATTTACAACAAAACATTGCAAAAAAATAACGTTTTAATTAAATAAAGGCTCTTGATTTGGTGATATTCCTTAAAATAATGTTTTAATTAATTAATAATAATTAGTAGGGTTGCAAAGAGGCAGAACATTTCTGGAAACTTTCCGAAAGTTTCTGAAAATTCCCTGAGTTTTCCAAAAGTTTCCACAAAAAAAAATCCTGGAATGTTTCCCAAAAATCCTGGAAATTTTCCAACATTTTCTGGACATTTTCCGCCTTTTTGCAACCTTAATAATTAGTAGTAGTAGTAGTTTGAGAAGTTAATTTCACTGCTAATATTTCTGTCAATATTTCTCCCAATTAAACAAAAATTATATGTTGAGGTTTTGTTGTGAAGACCTTTGAGTTTCTGTGTGTTTTAATAGCCATTAACATATGACTAATTCTCCAAATGCAAGTGGTTTTTCATATCAAACATATACACCAGCATAACTCAAAATCATCTAAAATGTATCTTGTGTTTTCTCAGGTTTACAGGCTGCTGGTCTCCTGTGCCACACACTATGTGACCAAACACCTTCGTCTGTTCTCAGCTTGTTCCGGCCGGCAGTAGAGTCGATCAGACGGGAGCTCGAGGTCTGTGTTAAAATGTCTGCGTGTGGAGAGTTTGCAGAGCACGTGTGGAAACCAGGCTCCTGTAAGAACTGCTTCCATCCGCGCAGCGCTCACGGACAGACCGGCACGGCGGGAGGCGCTGGTGTCCGAACGAGTCTGATCGGGGAAGACGAGGGTGGGGTAACGTCTCCCTCTCCGTATATTAAACCCACCATCGCTGTCAGACCCACCATGATGAACATGGACGTCACAGTGGAGGTCAAGACGGAAATGAATACAGAACAGGTATCTGCAGGAATGCACTGAATCCATTGAGTGGATGAACTCTTAAAGGAATACCCAAACATGAAAATCTGCTGAAAGTGTGCTCACCCTGTGGCCATCCAAGTTTAGGATGAGATTGTTTCTTCATCAGGTTTGGAGAAATGTAGCACTGCATCAGTGTCTCAGCAATGGATGCTCTGCAGTGAATGGGTGCCGTCAGAATGAGAGTCCAAACAGCTGATAAAAACATCACAATAATCCACATCACTCCAGTCCATCAGTTAACATCTGGAGAAGACAAAAGCTGAAACAAATCAATCAAGACGTTTTTAACTAAAATACGAGTCTATAATCCATAATAACTCTTCCTCCAGTGAAAAAGTGTTCTGGTGTGAATCAGGAGAGAAATCTGCACAGATCAAGCAGCGTTTAAACAGCTCTGAACTAATATGTGGCTGGATTTTGATGCGAGAGACAACAGCAGATGCACTTTTTCACTGGAGGAAGCGTTATTATGGAACGTTTTTATGATTGATTTGTTTCTTTTGTCTTCTTCTCCAGATGTTAACTGATGGACTGGTGTGGATTACTTTTGATGTTTTTATCAGCTGTTTGGACTCTTATTCTGACGGCACCCATTCACTGCAGAGCATCCATTGCTGAGACACTGATGTAGTGCTACATTTCTCCAAATCTGATGAAGAAACAAACTTGTCAACTTCTTGGATGGCCTGAGGACATTTTCATTTTTGGCTAAACTATACCTTTAAACTCTTATTATGGTGAAAGTCAGTGATATCTCCAAGGTGGGTGGGGTTTAGTCAACATTCTCCACTACATGGGTGTAGACTGGAATGTCTTTGTGAACGCAAGATACCAGACTGCCATTCAGCTGTATGCACCCTGTACAGGAAGGCAGTGATATGGACACACTTTTTAAACAAAGATAATTAGATCAGCGCCAAGGGCATTGAATCATTTCTATGACAGACTACAAAGCAAACAGACACAGTCACATAAAGTCGTCTGTGGAGTCAAATAAAATGATTAGTTTCTTGTACCTGTGTGATTAATTGTCTATGCAATGCATTGATTGCATTGACATGCCTGTGAAATGTTGCCTGTTTATCCAGCGTGCTTGTTTGTTTACGCTTTGATGTTATTATCTCAATGTGGGTTTCTTACATTGGCAAGTTATTGAGCATGTTTTTATAATAAGCTTTTTATTGTAAACGCAATGATCCAGTGTTTGAATCCTTCTCAGACTTATGATTGCTTCTGTATCTCAGAACAACCAGAAGACCTCTGTAGGACTGAAGAAAGCTCTGGATTTGGCTCCTCTGTACATCGATAGCAATGGATGTAATAAATCTCTCAGAGAAACCATAATACAAAACGGCATCTCTGTAAAGAAGTTCTCCCCAAACGTTTGTTCTCCCACTGGATTATCCAAAGACTGCATGATTATCAGCAATATATTTATGAGTCAAGAAGATGGCTGTGTTCAACACAGTCTAAAAGAGATTGGGAACAGTGACTCCTATAGACAGATGACCAAAGCGGTCAAGAGCACTTACGCCAATGGAGATCTATGTCTTCACAACAGGACTGGAAACAGTGATGGAGTTACAAGTCCTCTAAGGGCATCCGTAGAGGAAAGGCAAGCCAGAACCACACCAGGGAATATGGTTAACGGATCGTCCAATGAGACGCCAGGTACTTCACCGTCTCCGATTACTCCAGACTCCTTCCACGAAAGCCTATCAGCCTTGTGCTCCAATCGGAGCAACGTGGATTCATTAGTGGGACTCCGGAGTCCTCAGAAGTCTCCAAGCGTTCCACCAAACGGGCTTGAGGAAAGTGAGCCGATCTATGCTGAGAGCACCAAGAGGAAAAGACAACTCGATGCTCAATGCGACGGGAAGGCTCCGCAATCCTCCGAGTCTGAAACCGAAGTCAACGTAAGCGACAATCAAAGAGCGACTATTACTGTCGTCGCCGCCCATACTGAGGAAAACAACCGGACGTTTTACCTGAGCAGCCCGGATTCGGCCGTAAGCACACAATGGACCCACTTCAGCCCAACCGCGCCCAAAGACCCATCATGCCCGGCGTTCACTTGGCCAAATGCTCCTGATGTCACTGAAACAACCCAACCCAAGCCTCGATCCAGTCCCCCAGTTCCTCCTAAGATCAGCACCCGTCCACCAAGACTTGGTACCTCCAGTCTCTCCTTACCGTTACCCGAGCTCAGCTTTCACGTGGTTCTTCCTCCAAATCAGATGACCTCGCAAGTGGACACCAATGCTCAAGCCGTCCGAAACAAGTCCAACAGCGCCACGAGTCTGGAGGGATGTATTGACGAGGTGGAAGACGAGGTTGAGTCCAAGAGATTGGGCTCTTATGGTGGGCTAGGCGACTCCATCAATGCTCCTGCTGTTCCGTCCAGAGAATGGATGAGTGAGAGCAGTGCAGTGCCAGGCACTGCCATCAAAAGCACCAGTCAAATACCGGCAGAGGATGGTAGAGCCAAAGAGAGCTTGCTCTTGAGCCCGTCTCCTCTCATCCACTCCAGTGAACCCAACACCGATCCCACACCACCTCCGCCGCCTCCCAAAAAACACCACCGGTAAGAGCTGCATCCTTATTTTATGCTGTTTGCCAGGATATTAATCAGTTGATCATATCGATACTTATCCTTTGATGGAGCCACATTAGTCTTAGTATTTATGGTGCCCTCACGTGCTATGGTAAATATGAGTTTCCTAGCCATTTTTGGACATGGGTTAGGGTTAGGGCTTGGGAATTCGGACACGGATAGGCTCTCAAGTTGGATTTATGACTTGGAAACCTGGAGATAATTATGATACCCCAGACTAAACTTTAAATGTAATTGCAGGTTGAACATCTAGTTGGTTGTCAATGAATGGGACGCTACATTTTATTCAAAGTCTGTTGGATTTTGACTAAATATCTTCAATGCGTTTTTTCTTTAATGCAGTTTCCCCAAGAAATTGGCAAGAATTAATCTGGTGTCCTCCAGTATTTTTGTTGTTCCCAATGACAAAGCACTTGAATGCAGTAAACAAGTAAATAAGACTTCAGAAGTGGGAATTTCCAATAGCGCATGAAGGCAGCGTAAATGCAAAGACCCAGTTATGTTGTGTTTTTCTGGTTTGCCTGACCAGGTCATTTCAATGAATTTAAAAGCTCTTGGTATTGCTAGTTAGTCATCTGGTATAGAAAAACACTCTCAAGTCTCAGTTTTTGTGTTGGAAGGATGAAACTTTAAACTATGAAATGCTTTCTCTTGCATTACAGTCATTTATTTATGTATATAAATAACCATTTGATGCATGTTGTGTGTATTTTACACCGCATTTATTTGACTGAAACTTCAGAATCGCTGGCTGACAATCTAGTTGGTTGTAAATGAATGGGACGCTACATCTGTTGGATTTTGACTAAATATCTTCAATGCATTTTGGAGTATTTGTTTCACTCTCGTTCTCTCTGAATGAAGTTGATTGTCATTTGTATCTGGACTCGTGACTTTTAGGCCGGTCTCTCTGCTGTTTGTTTGCAGTTTTATCAGTCCTTCATTCAGCCTTTATGGAGACGATATCAAGCTCAAATATGTTCACGCCGTTCTGAATGTGACGCCTGTTCATCAGCGCCATTCGATTCATTTATTCTGCTGTAACCACGTTTAACATGTGAGTGTTAATGTAACGTAATGACGTGAAATAAAACGTCGTCATGTTTTAAAGAAGTGTGTCTTGATGATATGGTGGAAATAGCGGATGAGTGCAAACTCTATACCATGGGGATGTTTTAGATAGCTGTAAAAGGATTCACATGCTTGTTTTTTTATGTAATATTATATTGTAAGTCTAATAAATAATTGACCTCAAAAAGGGAATTCATAGCAATAACTGCTTAATTTTTTGCATATTAGCTATATTATATTATAAAGAATTGAACTGTTCTGCATGAGATTTTTTTAAAGTGATTTTTAATAGAATTTCTTGATAAGTAGCACAACACTGTAAAAAATGTTTTCTCAGGTAACCTAAAATGTGCATCATTTAGTTACATCAAGGGTCAAATCAAATATAAATAACACATTAAAGTCCAACAGAGAAAAGTTTTGCTCAGTAAGAAAAAAAAGAAATTAGAGGGAACATTGGTCATAACCCAATATTTTTCAATTAAAACCATATTGTATCTGATCAGCAACTTCTCATGAATGCGTGAATGTGAATTTTTAAAAAAGTTTTGCATGATATTATTGCATGTACCCCTTTTTATTAATTAAAAAAAATTCAATTCTTTGAAACTTCACACATGAACCACACCAAAAAAAAAAAAAAAGTATATATTTGTATTTTTTTCAACATTGATGAGACATTTTATTTGAATATATTGTGTGTCATTTGTAAGAACATATAATCTGAGAATTTCCCGTATTAACCCCATTGGAATTAATAGAATTTAATTAAATTCCTTTAAATTTATAACTCATTGTCATATTGTCTTGAAGACCCCCTTACATTTAGTTCATATGAAGTTCATATTTCAGTAATTTAACAACACAGTCACATGATTCTCTGATGTAGTTTAATGGTCACGTGACATTCAGCTCAACTAATACAATATTTAATATTTTTTAGAAATTGCCTGATTTTGTTTTTATTTTAAAATGTATTTATTTTAATTGGATATTTTTAGTATTTTATTCATTTATTCATTGATGGTTTGAATTTCAAATAAGTTTTATTTATTGATTGTTTTATTTAAATTGTATGCTTTAATTATTTTATTAATTTGTGATTGCTTTATTTTAAACTTAATTGTATTTATTTATTTTGAATTTTCCATTTTTTATTATTTTAATCAGTTGTTTTTTTATTAAAACATTTATTACATTTTTTGTTTTTAATGTTTTTATTAATTTGTTATTTATTTTAAATGAATTATTTTTTATGTATTATTTGAATTATTTTACTCATTTGTGTTTATTTTAAAATACTTTAATTTAATTATTTCATTTGAATTTTACTTTATTTAAAATTTTATTTCATTTAATGATATTTTACAATATGATTATTTTAGTTGTTTAATTAAAAAATATTTATTTTATTTTTGTTTAATCATCATTTTTATGATTGATTAATTATTAGCTTTTCATCACCTCTGTTTGGGGAACCTTCTTTAAATAACCCATTGTTAGGAACAGAGAGTGTAAATGGGTGAAGTTATGAACTCATCTAATGAATCATTTATGGAGCAGATGGTTCACGAACAGGACAAGCAGAAGCTGCGGTGATTATGGATATTAAAGCATGATCGTGGTCTGTAAGCGCAGGTGTTGAGATGTTCTGAGCTCTTCGGCTGGGTTCTGATGTTTCTCAGTCGTTCCTCTGAGCATCGATCGAGCTGAAGAAGCATCTTGAGTATCAGAACAGATGATCTGTGCCTCGAGTGTTTATTTCCATGCCTCGGGTCAGAGATGATCATACCAGATCAGAACACACACACACACACACACACACACACACACACACACACACTCTCACACACACACACACACACACACACACACACACACACACACACACACACACACACACACGCTCACACACACACACACACTCACACTCACACACACTCACACTCACACACACTCACACTCACACACACAGACGCTGATGATCCTCCAGTCCAGTGGATTCTGAGGTGAGTGACGGATGGCTGCTTTCAGCTCTGTGTGTTTCACTCAGGTCCTGTAGTGTGTGTGGTAAACATGCGGATTAGCAGGACCTTTGGAAAGGTCACAACGTGCCGCCTGCTGCTGTGTTTGAGCGTGTGTCTGTACGATACTTAGAAAATCAGGTGATTGTGGGAAACTGAGGCTTCAGATCGTATTTAGTAGAACAGTAAATATTATTACGGAGTGTCTATTTACACTAAGTGCAACTAAGTTGGCAGAGGCTATTTACATTAACTCCGCCCACCAACGTGTGATTGGGCTAAACAACACTACAAAAGACGACAGCTCCAGTGGTTATACATAGCAGAAAATCCTGCTGTTTTAACATCTCGCTAAAAAATACTGCTATTTGCACTTATTGTAAATAGCCTCTATCTCTATTACACGTAATAGCCACAGGCATATTATTAATGTAATACTAAAATATATAAAAGAGTTTCAGACCAGGGTTATTATTGTTAACTAAAAATAAAACCATAAAAAACATTTTCATTACTTGAAATAAAATAAACAGAAATAAAATTATATGCATTAAAAAAAACTAAACTTATTTTATTTTAGCTGGCAACATTTCTCATTTGTGTTTAGTTTAAGTAGACTAAATAAAATAAAACAAAAAATTAAAACTATATTTAAAAACTAATAAAAATGATGAAAATGCACAGCAAAATAACTAAAACTTTAAAATTAGAATGAAAACAAAATATAAGAGAGAGGCGGACAGTAACTGAGTACATTTACTTGAGTATTGTACTTAAGTACACTTTTTGAGTATCGGTACTTTACTTGAGAATAATTTTTTCTGGAAACTTTTGACTTTAACTTCATTTGAAAGACAAATATTGTACGTTTCACTCCACTACATTTCTATCAAGGTCCTCGAAGTAGAAAGTCGTTACTCTGTAGCAGCTCTGAAAGTCAGTGGCTGATTTCTTTCTTCTCTAAAACGTGACTTTCTTTTTTTTCAGACAGTTTATCAGTAATCACTCTTGTAGGGCTACATGAAGAGATTTCCCAGCATTTTTGTGAACACTGACCAGCTGCAAATGTGATATTTATTTACAGGTATTACGTACGACAATAAAACAGTGCATTGACATAAAAAAGGAAATTTACTTTTGGTACTTAAGTACTTTTAAAAGCAAGTACTTCGGTACTTTTACTTAAGTAAAAATCTGTCTCTACAACTTTTACTTGTAATGGAGTAATATTTGACCAGCGGTATCTGTACTTTCACTCAAGTAATGGAGTTGTGTACTTTGTCCGCTGCTATGCGGTTGCTAGGGTGTTCTGCTGGTGGATTAATGTCTTAGATGTAAGTTTGGTACTGGTGTTTAACACACACACACACACACATTTATTTATACACACACACACAGGAAGTGCTGCTGTTCTACTCACCACACAGAATCAGGAGTGTGTTTGTGGATCTTGTTACTTTGTATCGCAGCGCTGCTGAATGCTACATTCTAATTGGCTGACAGGTGTTACTTTCAAGCTATAGATGTTCTATAGTTGCTATGAAGTTGTGTATTTCTAAACATGCTATATATATAATTTAGTATTAGTGTTTGTGTTAGTCTTTAGTTAGTCTTTATTATTGGCTTTATGTAAGCAGCACACCTTTATGGTATGCTCTTGTTTAAATAAACCTGTGTGTGTGTGTGTGTGTGTGTGTGTGAGTGTGTATGTGTGTGTGTGTGTGTGTGTGTGTGTGTGTGTCTGTGTGTGTGTGAGTGTGTATGTGTGTGTGTGTGTGTGTGTGTGTGTGTGTGTCTGTGTGTGTGTGAGTGTGTATGTGTGTGTGTGTGTGTGTGTGTGTGTGTGTGTCTGTGTGTGTGTGAGTGTGTATGTGTGTGTGTGTGTGTGTGTGTGTGTGTGTGTCTGTGTGTGTGTGAGTGTGTATGTGTGTGTGTGTGTGTGTGTGTGTGTGTGTGTCTGTGTGTGTGTGAGTGTGTATGTGTGTGTGTGTGTGTGTGTGTGTGTGTGTGTCTGTGTGTGTGTGAGGAAGCTGCGGTGCTTCATAGCTTTAGATGTGAACATCCGTGGTTTGAGAGATTTTCAGCCCTGATTGAAATGACTCTGAAGTTTCTCTTTACCATAAATGACGTGAGAGAGAGAGAGAGAGAGAGAGAGAGAGAGATAATGATGTAATGATACAGCGAGGGAAATCACTTCACTTCTGTTCCTTCCGTTTTTCCCACAAACCTCTTCATATCATGAGTTTGAACAGCTGGAGAGATACAAACCTGTGTGTGTTTGTGTGATATATGACTGTAGGTGTGTGTTTGTGTTGTCTGCAGGGTGTGTAAGCGTCTGAGTGGCAGTAATATGGATCTGGAGCGCGTCGGTCAGCAGGGGTCAGTGGAGAATCTCAGCCAATCACTGCGAGGACTGAACTGCTGCACCAGTGCATCCAGCGACAGCCTGCAGGCGCTCTCCGACACCGGTGAGCTACACACGGACACTGCTTATTTGTTTGTTTTATTTTATTTTATTTTATTATTTTTTTTTTTTTAAATAATTAATAATTCAAAAAATATATATATTTTGTTATTTATTCATTTATTTGTATTATTTATTTATTTTATTAATATTTATTTATTTTATTTTAATTTGATCAATTTAAAAAAATTAGGTTGGGCATTACCCAAATAAGCATAAATAAACTCGAAACACAAAAGGTTTTTAAATATATTTTACTCACAATTACTGCCTGATTAAAAATGTTTAGAGCTTAGCATAACTAGTGAAATATTATTCATTATAAAACACCTATTCAGCTTTAAGACTTTTCCAGGTCTTGAAATCACACTTTTAAAATTAGTCTTTTTTCCAAAATCTGGTTATTCAAAGACAAAAACAGTTTAAGCTAATTCTTGGTTTTTAGTTGTTGTTTTGTCTTGTATTAAATCATTTTAAGACATGTACAAGCTCTTCCAAACGCTGATGCTTGTATTTTTCATCAATACAGCTGTCCCAGAATGCATTGCAAAAGGCTCTTAAATGACAGATGGAGCTGAGCGGAAAAATGACTATTTTATGTCATATTTGTGTGTATTTCTGTGTTTATTTAGTCATTAGATTGAGAATAGAAAATTGTTTCTGCTCATGTAGGTTGTTTTTAATCGGTCTCATGAGGTTTAATTTGAGTTTCTGAAGGGAACTTCCCGTGTAGGCAGCAGAGGGATGTTCACTAGGGTTGAAGTCTATAAACAGACTGTTATTGTGAATGAAACTTCCTTTCTTGATAATCAGCGGTGATGAGAAGGGAACATCAGACGCCGCTCTTCCTCCTGATCTTCAGGCTCACAGCTGTGATAGGCTGTCGTACTGTAGGTGTATGTAGTGTGTTCCCATGCACCGGGGCGCAGAGATAATGGAGGGTTAAACAGAGGAAATCAAGGTTTGTGTTTATCACAGGGCGTTTTCTGATGGTTTCCCTCATGAAGTCACTGATCTTCATCTGCAGGCCTATATTAACGCGTCACAAACCACTGAGAGACTCCATCACAGGATCTGATGATCTTTGAAGGATTCATGGTTGTGGAGTTTGTGTGCATGAGTGCGTGAGTGTGTGCGTGAGTGTGCGAGTACGAGCGAGTGTGCAAGAGAGTGCGAGAATGAGTGTGCGAGTGTGGTAGTGTTGAGAGTGTGAGTGGGAGAGTGAGTGTGAGCGTGTGAGTGTGCGATTGAGTGTGAGGGTGTGCTAGTGTTGAGAGTGTGAGTGCGCGAGAGTGAATATGCATGTACGTGTGAGAGTGCGAGTGAGTGCAAGTGTCAGTAAGTGTGAGAGTGAGTGTGAGTGTGTGATTGAGTGAGTTTGCAATTGAGTGCAAGTGCAAGAGTGTGAGTGTGTGATTGAGTGAGTGTGAGTGAGAGAGTGCGAGTGTGTGATTGAGTGTGAGTGTGAGGGAGTGCGAGTGTGTGATTGAGTGTGAGTGCAAGCGAGTGAGTGAGTGCGAGTGTGACTGCGAGTGAGTGAGTGTGCGATTGAGTGCTAGTGCAAGCAAGTGAGTGTGTGTGAGTGTGAGTGTGTGATTGAGTGTGAGTGCAAGCGAGTGAGTGAGTGCGAGTGTGACTGCGAGTGTGTGAGTGAGTGAGTGTGCGATTGAGTGCTAGTGCAAGCAAGTGAGTGTGTGTGAGTGTGAGTGTGTGATTGAGTGTGAGTGCAAGCGAGTGAGTGTGAGCATGAGTGAGTGCGAGTGTGTGAGTGAGTGAGTGAGTGTGCGATTGAGTGCTAGTGCAAGCAAGTGAGTGCGAGTGTGTGTGAGTGAGTGTACAATTGAGTGCAAGTGAGTGTGAGTGTGCGATCGAGTGCGAGTGCAAGTGTGTGTGAGTGTGAGTGTGTGAGTGAGTGAGTGAGTGAGTGAGTGAGTGAGTGAGTGAGTGAGTGAGTGAGTGAGTGAGTGAGTGAGTGAGTGAGTGAGTGAGTGAGTGAGTGAGTGAGTGAGTGAGTGAGTGAGTGAGTGAGTGAGTGAGTGAGTGAGTGAGTGAGTGAGTGAGTGAGTGAGTGAGTGAGTGAGTGAGTGAGTGAGTGAGTGAGTGAGTGAGTGAGTGAGTGAGTGAGTGAGTGAGTGAGTGAGTGAGTGAGTGAGTGAGTGAGTGAGTGAGTGAGTGAGTGAGTGAGTGAGTGAGTGAGTGAGTGAGTGAGTGAGTGAGTGAGTGAGTGAGTGAGTGAGTGAGTGAGTGAGTGAGTGAGTGAGTGAGTGAGTGAGTGAGTGAGTGAGTGAGTGAGTGAGTGAGTGAGTGAGTGAGTGAGTGAGTGAGTGAGTGAGTGAGTGAGTGAGTGAGTGAGTGAGTGAGTGAGTGAGTGAGTGAGTGAGTGAGTGAGTGAGTGAGTGAGTGAGTGAGTGAGTGAGTGAGTGAGTGAGTGAGTGAGTGAGTGAGTGAGTGAGTGAGTGAGTGAGTGAGTGAGTGAGTGAGTGAGTGAGTGAGTGAGTGTGCGATTGAGTGCTAGCGCAAGTGAGTGCAAGTGTGTGTGAGTGTGAGTGTGCGATTGAGTGCGAGTGCAAGCAAGTGACTGTGTGTGTGAGTGAGTGAGTGTGAGTGTGCGATCGAGTGCGAGTGCAAGCAAGTGAGTGCGAGTGTGTCCTCGGCTCCGAGCGACTCTGGCTTCAAACCGCTCGCCTGTTCTCACCCGCGTCTGGGGAACGTGACGTCTTGCTCGTCTCCGCAGCTCCACACGCTGCATCTGCATGCGCTGCTCAGGAACATGGACAGCCGTGAGGGCATCTACTCCAAACTGGGCGGCCTGTACGCTGAGTCTCTGCGGCGGCTCGCGCTCAAGTGTGAGGAGCATTTCTCCAGCGGCCAGAGGAACACGCTGAGATTCGACGAGAGCAACTGGTCACTCTTCAAACTCACCTGCAACAAACCCTGCTGTCTGTCCGGAGATGCTGTGTATTACTCAGCCTCCTGCGCGTCAGACACTCGAAACACATACGCCGTCAAAGTGAGAGAATATATATATATATGTGACCCTGGAGCACAAAAGCAGTGTTAAGTCGCTGGGGGATATTTGTAGCAATAGCCAACAATACATTGTATGGGTCACAATTATACATTTCTCTTTTATGCCAAAAATCATTAGGATATTAAGTAAAGATCATGTTCCATGAAGATATTTTGTAAATGTCCTACCATAAATATATCAAAACTTAATTTTTGATTAGTAATATGCATTGCTAAGGACTTCATTCGGACAACTTTAAAGATGATTTTCTCAATATTTAGATTTTTTTGCACCCTCAGATTCCAGATTTTCAAATATTATCCTATCCTAACAAACCATACATCAATGTTAAGATTATTTATTCAGCTTTCAGATGATGCATTCATCTCAATAAAAAAAAAACTGACCCTCATGACTGGTTTTGTGCTCCAGGGTCACATATATACTGTACATTAACCGTCAAAGGTTTGGAATAAATAAGGTTTTTTGAAAGAAGTCTCTTCTGCTCACCAAGGCTGCATTTATTTGATTAAAAATACAGTAAAAATTGTGACGTATTATTAGAATTTAAAACCGCTGAAATCATTCTAATATGCTGATTTGCTGCTCAAGAAATATTTCTGATTATTATCAATGTTGAAAACAGATATTTTTTTGGAATCCGTAACACATTTTATTTTTCAGGATTCACAGATGAATAGAAAGTTCACAATAACAGCGTTTATTCAAAATAGAAATCTTTTGTAGCATTATAAATGTTTTACTGCCAATTTATATCAATTTAATTTGTCCTTATATATATATATATATATATACAGTGGGGCAAAAAAGTATTT